CGGCTAGAAATCTCCTTGAAAAAACAATGATTAGGGTCGATGGACCGCGTTAAACGTTACTACCCTTGTAAACACTTAAAAATTTCAAATGCAAAACCAAAGTTTTTTTGGGTTTTTTTCCCACCATTTATGAATGTAAAATTTCTCTTTCATTGAGCTGATCTTAGAGAGGGTCGGCGAAATTTTTAGGTCTGTGGATAAGATTATATCAGTGCCCCAGAATCAAAGGTTCCTGACTCACATTGTTGGAAAAATCGAGTTGTATTGGCGTTTTGAAAATCCCTAATAATACTTCGTGCGTGTAGGAAATTTATTGATAGAGTTACTAAATTAGCTACTTTTGATGAAATATTCTAAAAGATGAAAAAAAAAATGATTTTATCAATGGAGGACCAAATAGACAGATCCAAGGAAGTGACGTGCCCCCCCCCCCTTTANCCCTTTACCCGTCAAAAGAGGAAGAGAAAGTGAAAGGGTAAAGTAAGGAGAAACAGAGAGAAAAAGATGGAAGAGCGTTTGTATTTGGTAATTTTTCGAGATGAAATTGACCCAGCCTAAATGTTATATGCATTCAAATTTTGAAAATGTCCTGCGGAAAGCCAATGCCTGGGTTCGCCTACATACGACAACCTTTCACACTACAGAATGGAGATGTTGCATGTGTGAGGAATTGGCGATTTGACTGTTGATTCTTACGTAAAAGTTCGCGTGAAACACGATGGTGCCACTGGTTTTCCCTGAAATCAACTCCCAGGCTCAAAAAAAGCTCTCAAGTTGAGGACAAAATGGAGGCGATATCCCACGCTATCCTGCGAGTCCACATCTACATCAACGCAAACTCTCCATGCAAAGATAGGGAGCAAATTCATTGACAAGGCTGCCACTTCATTTGGGGACTCCAAAACTGAAAACACGGCATCACTGCTAATGTATTTGCTCCCTATCTTCGCATGGAAAGTTTGTCTTGATGTAGATGTGGACTCTCAGGATAGCGTGGGATATCCCCTCCATTTTGACCTCAACTTGAGAGCTTTTCTTGAGCTTGGAGTCGATTTCAGAGAAAACCAGTGGCACCATCGTGTTTCTCGCGAACTTTTGCATAAGAATCCAACAGTCAAATCGCAAATTCCGCACACATGCAACATCTCCATTTTCAGGAGCTAATTTTTAGAACGGTTGCTGACCTAAACTGACGGTAACACGCAAAATAATACAGTAAAAGTTCGTTAAGTCGAACTGTCTGGGGACCAATGAAAAATTCGACTTAAGCGGCAATTCGAGTTATTCGTTTCTCCGCTCAGCTCGAAATCAGCGTAAAAATCGCAAAAATTCGACTTAAGGGGCAATGCCGCCAACTCATGTCAGAATTGAATTTTTCCCGCCCAATGCAACGTCAATCCTTCAGCCCCTTGACCAAGGAGTGATAAAAGTAATGAAATACAAGTATCGAAAATCAGTCGTTCGGAGGCTTTTAACTTTATAAACCTCCAAGAGAAACCGCCATCACAAGAACTTAAGATCGACATGTTTACAGTAACATGTAATTACGTTCCCTATTTCCAATTGATGTAACGTATCCTTAACGTCTACACGTAAATCAAGTCTTGGAGAAATGACTTAAAACAGGAGATTTCTGGATTGAGCATGTTTTTCCTACAGAGAAGCTACATACTAAATCTGCAGTTTGATGGAAAGACGCCGTGTAACGTTGAAAAGTGGAGAAGGTGTTCGGGACAAGTTGCAACGGCGAGCAGAGTCGTCAATCGTTGAGCCCGATTCAAATCTGGCGCCTCCCCGAAAACCGCGCACCTTCCTACTTGATTCACATTAGGGTTGCGCTGTTCTGCGCGTTCGCGTGGGCGGGAGGCAGAACAAGCACATGTATGAACAGCGGATGTCCCGTTGAAAATACACAGGGTGTCCCAGATGTCAGCGCACTGATGCTGTAATTCCTCAACTTGGGTGGCAATCGAGTTGATCTTGGTTGTCATTATTCAGCTTACGTCACAGCTCCCGATCGATTGCGCCCAAATCATCCTTTTTGTTCAAAATTTGACGAGAGAATTTGTCAAAATTTGTCACGAGACTGAATGTATCGATGTGAAACGTCACTGAACTTCAGTTGATATGGAACCTCGATGTTTTCGGTCAGAGGAATAGAAAAGTGTTTGACCGTGCAAACTAACCGATGGCTCCGTAAAAATACGAACTTTAGTATGCCCAACGAAAACTACAGTTACCTGGGCTAAAGCTCGATCAGTATTAACTAGAATTCCGGTTAATTATTTCAGTGTTCCTAGTGAACTGAAGTTTTTTCCTCCGTGCCAGTTCTCGTTGATCAGCTTCATATACCCTTGGTTCAAACCTATAAAAGTTTGTCAATTTTGAAGTAAGATCTTAATCGCAATATTAGTGGAGTGCCAGAAAATGTCCATAGGGAGGGGGGGGGGGTTGGAATCTACAGATAATAAGTCCTGAAAATCACGAGAAAAGAAATTTTTTGCAAAAATAATGTCCAATCGTAGGAAGCGTATTTTGGTTGATGATCGGTCGAACCAAAATGGGTGGATCATGCTATTTTCGTATTTTGCTTTGACGCGATCAAACTTTTTCGGAACTCACCAGACAGATGGACGGTGGAATTCTTGCAAACGTTGGAGCATAAAGTGAACCCTACAAAAAGTAGGATCATGACTAACCCCGATGTGAATGATGGCATTCAACAAGCATCAATGCCGAATGCCTAACCTCTAAATATATTAGAAAGACCGCCAAACGCCAAACCTGTCATTTGTTAGTTTAAACGTTTAATTTTTTTGTGTTTAATAATTAAAATAATAATTTCTAGTCTGGTTTAATTATGAGCAGCGACAACTCATATAGGCCGATAATAGGCCCGACCGGCAAGATTTCGGTAAAGGATGGTCAGTTACTATTCGCCAATGTAGTTAGTAAGTACCGTCATGTCATTCATTTATAATTTCTAGACTTCATGACACAAATATTAACAGACCAACAACCATAAAAAACAAGTTTTATTTCTTCTTTTCGTTGGAGGAAGCGTAAACGGATGTTTCCACTGAACAACAACAATGAGCTAACCTAATCTGCCATCCGTGGTTCATATTTCCCGCCCTCTCCAAAGAACCGGGATGACTTTTTCGTATTTTCTTATGATCCGGGCAACTCTTCGCAACTCATCTCTGATTGGTCGGATTCTGACGACTGCTTTCAACAACAACAACGCCCTGTTTGCTCGACCGATCATCAACCAAAATACGCTTAGGGACGGCGAGTTCACACCTTCGGTCCCGCCTCTGCTTCGTCGATCAGCAGCCTAATTATTGAAATTAATGAAATTGAAGCATAAAAATCCTTTGACTGCCAATTTCAACCATCCACCCGGTGGATTGATGTAAGCTTTGTGGCAGCTTACCAACTATCATAGATCCGGCATTACAGCACAAGTCCAGGCACTTTCGGGACACCCTGTGCGCACGGCACATTCGTTATATTCACGCAAGTGCAGGGGACACGGGACCCGGAACCCAGCCAACGAGATGTCACTCACGGCGCGAAGTGCTCTTTCGCGATGATAGCGTTTGTTGGTGTTGGCTGATTTTTGTCAATTGAACCCCCGCCCCCACCCACCCCCCTCGCGGACCGGGCGCCCGTCAATCCGTTCGCCTCGTCCTCTCCCAATTACTTGCTTCCAGATTGCAGATGATTGATTGGTTCTGTATCACTGCCGCGAGCCGGGAATCGCCCGTTTAAAAATACCCCGAATCCATCTTTTGCCATCCGAATCGGACGGGTTACCTACCCGCGAGACCGGCTTATTTTTGGTGCCTTCATTAACGTGAGCGGGGCAGGGCGTCTAATTACGAGACGTTTCCAAAAGCGAATTTTATTTTCGGGTCCGACGAAGATTTCGGACGCCGTTAATTGAGGTGATCACACGCCACTTTTCGTGGAAGGGTTCATCACACCTCGTTTTACTGAGTTTTCTTGAACTCAAATGCGTTTTGCTAAAAAAAAACATCGAAAATAAAGCGCCACGTAAGCCATGAACGTAAAAACTTTTATCGTTAGACATTTGTAGATAACTTTGAAAGTGAGGCCCGTCCAAAGATCCTGGATCAAAGGACGAAAAGATTTACGATTCAGTCCTTAAACATTCGAAGTTATCTCAAACTATTTCCTGATGCAATTAATGGGTGTGTTCTTATTTACCGTATATTATACATATGTTTTCTTCCCCGTTTTTAATATTGGGACTTTTGAAACAGGTCCAGACAATAGAATAAAAAGCGGCAGCAGAGGAAAAAAAACTCTATCAACTCATTGATCAGCTATCGAATCACTTTTGTCAGCACAGTTGTGTAGACCTCAAGCAGAGAATGGAATCCATCTATGAGGGGCGTTTTACGAGTACACTACCTATTCTGAACTGCGCCTCGACTATTGGATCTTTATCGAATGACCTTGGTCGATATCGAATGACTTCGATCGATATATAGCATTGTTAAGATAGGGAGTAATCGATCAGGATCATTTAATAACGACTCAACGATTGACCCTCTGCTCATCAACGGCACAATTTGAAACTTTTCATGGGAAGAAGGGGAGAATTTACGGTTAATAGATCCTATGCCTGAAGATTCAAGTGATCCCTAGCTGAAAAATGGCTTCCGAACTATAAGACCACGGTGAATTTGTGTAAACCAGGTCACCCTTATAAAGCGAGATACGCAAAATGGGTTCCTCCGAGTATCAATGGTGGCATCTGATATATAACGCTGAAAACTTTGTATTACGATTTTCTCAGTTACATGACATTCAATGTTTCCAGATTCATCTTATCAAGTCCATTTTATTTGAACGACACAATCTTACTGAATAGATCTTAGTGCATCAATAATTCCTTCTTCTGTAATGTGTATATTTATGACTGGTGAATTAGACACGTGGATTTAACATATCTTCTTTACTTGTTTCAGGCGATATTATTTTACACACCACGCTGGCTGTGGAAACATTGGGAAGGGGGCAAAATTCACGCATTGATGATGGATTTGGACATCGGAATATGTTCGGAGGTTGAGAAGAAGCAGAAGAAAAAGCTTTTACTGGATTATCTGTGGGAGAACCTCAAGTATCATAACTGGTGGGCTTATAGGTATTACCTCTGCGAAGTTCTTGCCCTTCTTAATGTAATAGGTATGTAAGAGGACTTTTTACACCACATAATAATACGCTTCAAATTATTTATTTAAATTGTAAATGGAAACAGAGCAAAAATGAAGAATTTTAAGAAAAGAGGAATGGTTGCGGGAAAAAACTAGTTGCTACTTTCTTGTTCACTGAGCGCCGCATGAACACCTGTAGGCCGCCTGTAATTCATCCATTAATTATCTCGGTCTGTTTTCACGCGTTGATGTTCCACAGTGCCGACAACTCATTGGACTGATGGCATATTTAGGGATGTATACATGACTGTAGACAGATGAGTTTATGTAGTGCACTTCAATCTAATGATATTAATTTTTTGCCAAACTGCAAATTTGAACCATCAGTGCGCGATTCTATGATTAGAGCAACTGTCCCATCGCACTATTCCATTACTTCATTTTTGTAAAATACAGTTCATCCAATATTACTGCTACACATTGAGTCGTTAGAACATACAGAGGGCCACGAAACAATGTCTGACCTAAGAGTGGACACTACCTCATTTTTGTAAATTACAGTCCATCCTATATTACTGCTACACATTGATTCGTTAGAACATACAACACGCCACGAAACAAGGTCTGACCTAAAAGTTGACACTACTGTTCCTGGTTCAATTTAAAAATCAAAGATGTACCATTAACCATGTAACGTTTGGTGCACGATTTGACAAATGTACATTTAGTTTTATTATGAGCGTGAGGTTTAAGTTTACGCATAAAAAACCGTTAAATATCCTAGTTATAGGAGTTAATTTCAAATATTTTCATTGCATAAATCGTGCTCTTCGTGAAATTTTAATCAAGAAACGTGTATAAAAATGCCTTAATTCGCAATGAATCAGTTGCTTAAGTCACAGAAATCGCGTTGATGCTCGATTCTCGTAGACTGGTTGAAAATAATAAAATCCGTCTATGCAGTAGCTTTCTGTGCTCAATATTAAGAAATATTTCGTGCTATGAGAAATTTGGTGTGAGCCGTTATCCAGCGCGGAAGTGACACTATTGGTTTCTTCCACCTTGATTTCATCAAGTAGAGAGACATACATTTGCACAGGTTACTCAACGTGAAACGCGGACGAAAGCAAGATAGAAGAAACCAAGGGGGTCACAACCTCGGTGGATGACGTCCAAAACCGAATTTTTCAGAGTGCGATATCTAAGCTTATATAGGACATGGGAAGTTACCGTTTTGACAGATCTCATTAATTCTATAGCAATTGTAAAAGATTCGAGCATCAATACACGATTCTACGACCAATGCGATACTCGACTTATTCTGCCGGGTTAAGGAAAAACGTCGTATGATCATTCAAATGTTGACATATTTCGTCCCGGAAGATGTTTTTTCTTGCAGAAAGTTATGAAATTTTTCTTTGAAATTTTTGGACACTTTAAATAAAATTAGGAGCAAAACTTCTCAAAATGTTGGAAGAAAAAGTACTTATATATTCTATCAAAAATTCGTGATTTGTCAAAGGAAATTTGGCAACGTCTGAAGGCTCATACGGCGTTTTTCCTTAGCGTGGTATTCGTAACATTCAGGAGCCACCCTGCGCCGTCCGCAACGCGCATAACGCACGACCCGCCTTTCATTATTACACTTCACCTAGCGTTGAGAGTTCACGAATTACTTCACACGATCAGAGTGTAATTTTGAAGGTCGCAAAATATTAAAAAAAAATCCACACGATACACGGGTTTCTCCGCCAGGGAGCTCTCCCCATAAGAAATCGTTCACCGCTCGCCCGCGGGGAGAGCCGCGGCGTGCTGCCAGCAGGAAAAGCGCAATGACGCCTACAAACCTAACGGGATACTTCACGCATTGCGCAACGCTTGAAGTATCCACTTAGGTTTGTAGGCGTCAGTGCGCGTTTCGAGCTAACACGCACGCCGCGCCGCAGTGTGCCATAAGGTTGCCCACAGTTAAGGTCAAGGTGTTAAAATGTAGGCAATTTGACATGAAATTCGACATTAGCGACTCAAAAAACATCAGATACGAAACTAACGTGATCTTTCGGTCATTATCCGACTTATTTCTTCCTTATTCTTTTGGACCATAGTGCGCAGCGGGCACTTGGCAAGGTACGAATTTCAGCATTCTCATACATGTTTCTTAATCAAAATTTCACGTAAAAAACGATGCGCACAACACAAATTACTGAAATCATTCCTTACAAAGATATTTAATGATTCTTCATGCGTGAATTCAAACCACCCGCTCATGAAAACTCAATGCTCTACGTGACTCACATCGCGCGCTAAACATTATCTTGATAGTCTCTGCGATATAAAAATCTGGCAACCTCAGTTTCGACCCTTCGGCCCAGCTATAGGAAATTTCTTATATTTTGAACGACACATGATGGGAAATGAACATTGCTTGATTGAGAAGCTTGCTGAAACCATTGTAGTGCGCGATTTGTCTCACGTAGAGCTTCGAGTTTCTTGTGAGCGGGCAGTTCAAATTCCTCGTAACCAATGTGAAATAAAAACGTTGATATCTTGGTAAGGAGTTGGTTTCAGTAATTTTCGTTGTGCGAATCGTGTTTCAATGGAAATTTTGGTTAAGAAACTTGTATCAGATTCCTTAAATTCGTACCTTGTCTAGTGGTCGATTGCACTAAGGGACACACGCGACTGATCGACCGATCATTTACTTGTGATACGTTATTTGCCCAGGTCAAATGTACATGATGAACCGGTTTTTCGACGGGGCGTTTCTGACGTTCGGCATTGACGTGCTCACGTTCATGGAGGACGACCAGGAGGAGCGGATCGATCCGATGATCTTCATTTTCCCGAGGATGACCAAATGCACATTCCATAAGTACGGCGTCTCCGGCGAGGTCGAGCGCCACGACGCCATCTGTATCCTTCCGTTGAACGTCGTCAACGAGAAAATTTACGTCTTTCTATGGTTCTGGTTCCTAATACTCGGTATCCTGACCTCCGGAGTTGTTCTGTATAGGTAAGTAACGTCGTGGCTCTTGCGTGGGTCAGACTGAGTCATATTGCAATCACTCTGACGTCATTACACCGAAAAAAAGGATGCTGACTTAACATTCTGGATGTAAAAAAGTGTGCGACAACTCACAAAACGCTGAGTTAACCGCCGCAGTAGTTACTGCAGGGTGTCTACCACAACAGGCTGGCCAAAAATCAGTACTTTTACAGTACTTTCTCAGTACTATCCAAAGTAATTCAGTACCTCCTCATTAGAAAAATTCAGTACTTTTTCAGTATCTCCATTTAACGAAATTCGAAAAATTTCAAACATTTGAACTTCTCGTTCACAAATGAAAAAAATTCCGGATATCCTTGCTGAATTTCCGCACTTTTGCAGTACTTCTGGACCGCCCTTAAAATATCAATACTATTTCCAGACTTTCCGGACTTATAGACACCCTGTACTGTAGCAATTTCGAGATGTAAAGCTAGATGCTATGGCGGATTACTCGGCGTTTTGTGAGTTGTTGCACACTTTTTAAAATCCATTTTAAGTCAGCATCCTTTTCTTTTTCGGTGTAGGACGTCTGCCTGACGTTAATTTCATAACAAACAAATGAAACTGTCGTCGGAGTGGAGTCAGATCTCTTGGACTGATGGAGATCAATAAAGGAAAGGAAGCCGGTCTTGAGTTGTGAGTCGTATGATTCACAAATAAAATACAAGAGTTACGCAACAAATGGGTCGACAAGGCTAAAACAAGCACAATCATGGACGTTTCGGAACAGTTACAAGCCTATTCTCGACTGGAACAAAAGCTAAAATTAAGATGAAAAAAAAAGAAAATGAGCATGCAACTGACCGAGGTAGGAATCAATGCAAAGTGAAAAACAAAGCAGAGCTAAAAACCAGGCCCAAAACGTCCTGGTTTTCTTTATACTCGGTTAAGCCTGATCAAAACCGTGACCACGAAAGCTTGCAGGAGATGGCACTTACGGAGGCCTAGCACTAGCTTAAGAGGTTGATTTCAAAACATCTCGTTGTGTGAATAATCGTTTTCTATGTAAGATTTTGAAGAAAAAACATTTGACGTTTTCCTCTACAACAGGAAAAAAAACATGGTTATTCTATGGTTACGCGGTTGTAATGTCACACATGATTCCACAGTAGCAGAACCGTGGACTTGCACCGAAAGAAAAGTGATGTTGGTTTAACATGCTGGATGTAAAATTAGTGCGCGAGAACTCACAAAATGCTGAATTAGCCGCTCCAGCAGTTAGTTTTACATCTTGACACTGCTGAAGAAATTGCTGTAGCGGTTAAATCAGCATTTTGTAAGTTCTCGCACACTTTTTTAACATCCAGAACGTTATATCAACTTCCCTTTTTTTTCAGTGTAGGTAAGATTATTGGTGGGCATAGCAGCATAATCAAATTCGTAGTAGAATTGGCCGTATTTCTATCAAACAGAACTATGTGCATTATGACGTGAGCCCTGTTACGCACATATTCTCATGGACTCATGTCTTAATGCACATAGTTCCGTTTGATAGAAATACGTCCAATTATTGTGTTCCCAGTAATATCACGTTAGACATGGTAGCATCACCGTGCTCATCGTTATCATCATCAAAACCCACGGCTCTACCACCGTGGGATCCCGTGTGCGACATTCTTACCGTGGTAACCGTAGAATAACCGTGTTTTTTTCTCCGTGTACATACTTCAGACCTTGTCTAATGGTCCACTGACCCATTATTTGTTAACCCTCAGGGACGGATTTTCCACAAGGCAGACCTAGGCAGCTGCCTAGGGGCGCAAAGTTTTGAGGGGTGCAAAATTTTAAGACACGTGCATACTTTTTAAAGGTTCTAGAATTAAAATCGGTAAAAAAAAAAAAAAAAAATAGAAGGACGAAGACAGAGGCGCGCGAAAGGAGAATATCTGTTCATGCCCTTGTCTATTGATAAGGTTTGGTTTCCAGAAAAGTAGCTTTATACTGCGTTAGTCAAATGCCCGATTTTAAAAATTTTCCGGGGGAGCACCCTCGGACCCCCCTTTTGGTTGGCGGAAACCCTCTCAAACTCCCCACGCGGTCGTCCGTTCTGCGATAGGCGCAACTGTAAAGATTTGCCTAGGAGGGCTAAAAAGGTAAATCCGTCCCTGTTAAAACTCACTTGTGTGCGAAGATATCTCACTGGATTCAGTTCTAAAATTGGTTGATTTTATAGGTTCGTGATAATCCTGAGCCCGCGGATGCGGGTGTACCTCCTGCGGATGCGGTTCCGGTTGATCCGGCGGGAGGCCATCGACACGATCGTGCGGAGCTCCAAGATGGGCGACTGGTTCCTCCTCTTCATGCTCGGCGAGAACATCGACTCCGTCATCTTCCGCGACGTCATGCACGAGCTCGCCGCCCGCCTCCACACCCACACCAAGACCGCCGACGCCCACGTCCAGCACGCCTAGCCATCGCCTCCGCCTTCCGCCCAAGACAAAAGGTAAACTACCACCCGCTCCATCCGGTTTTGCCATGTAGGTGGTGGTGGTGGTGTGCATGGTGAGATAGAAAATGAGAAGGGTGTTCTGGTCTGCGGGCTCATTGTTGAAATCGGCAGACAAAGCGATAGACAAAAAAGATATGAAGGGATCCTACTGCGGGCTGATTGTTGAAATTAATAGACAAAGAAGAAAAAAAATATATGGAGGGATCCTACTGCGGGCTGATTGTCGAAATTGATAAACAAAGAAGACAAAAAAGATATGAAGGGATCCTACTGCGGGCTGATTGTTGAAATAGATAGATAAAGAGGACAAAACAGATGTTGAGGGATCCTCCTGCAGCCCGCAGCATCGGGCTGATGGTTTACATTGATAGACGAATCCATAGACAAGTTGTTTGTTGAAGAGATTTTAAAATTGTTACTTGTGAGATGGGCTATCCGCATTAAAATTCCTAATGTTGCAGTAAGTGCGCTACTCCTCATACCAAGGTACCACACAGTTTTCTCCGACTTTCAAAATCTCCCCAAAGATTCACGGACTTTATTCAATCGAACTTAAAAAACAGCTGTTGCGATATCTATCCAAGCTCCAGTGATGCTGTTTTCATGTCATAACTCTTAATTTCAATTTTGATGGCATACCCCTCCTCAAAAGCTCCAAAGCATGTTTATGGCCGATACTTTGTCGTATAGTTACGTCCATTGGCAAGAAAGTGTTTGTCGTTGGTGTGCATTACGCATGAACCGCAAAAAACATGGGTTTACGGCTATTTTGGACTAAAAAGTTGGAAAAGTTCGATTTTGAAGTTGGGCCCAAAGGCGACGGTTGATCATATTCAAGAATGTTACTTGTCCGAGTCCTTGACACCGCATTCGAAGCTCATCACCCGTCGCTTTTGGGCCCAGATTGGCTCCGGTTTTATCAACGCCTACTACACCTATTAGAGGAGGAAAAACTTCTTCCACAACTCAAATAAAACCCTAGATAGGGCGTAAAAAATCATGTATACTTGTATCCTCAAGTTTTCCTTTGTTTCGGGATTGGCACTTTTTGGATGAGTCTCGACACTCCTTCTTTACGGCATTGGGTTACGTATTTCTTTTGCCCTTTTAAGTACCGTCCTGCACCTTATGACACTGGTAAACTTTAGACATTGAGAAGCGGGAATTGTGAAGAAAAATTTTTTTTTTCGATGAACCGAATGCTTGATGTTAACTCACCAAAGCTAGTTGAAAAGGTAGTCAACAAACACATGATCTTATTTTCTGACTTAAAACGTTGAACAGCTAACATCTTCCGCCCATTCAAGTCGTAGTTACATGCGGAACTTGCAGCTGAGGATCTACACCCTTAATTCGTCTATTACCGCAATGGATTTGTTTAATTTTTACTTGTATTCACTCATAAAATTTCCTCGTTGTTTCAGGTGGAATGTGGAGGTAAAAGCGACATCACCAATGTCAGACTGGAAGGCAGTACTTTAAAAAACAACGAGAGTGAGCATGGTTTGCCACTGGTCGAGCGGGTCGAAACCGCTATCGCTCTGAGCATCTACTAGGCAGTGGCGTGGCGTGCTTTGCGATATATCGATTGTTTTGCCATTTAAACCTAAGGAAAAGGATCGATTAACAGGGTGTTCGCAGCGAACATCTTAAAAATCGATTCTTTACCATAGGTTTAAATGGCATAGCAATCGATACATCGCAATTCACGCCACGCTACCGGGACAAGTAGCACAAGGGTGAAGCTACCTCGAGTACCTTGTGACTGTTGTTTCAAACTCAGCGTAAAAAAGTCTCTGGAAATACATCCGAAATGTACTAAATAATGCCGCACAGACTTATGAGGAAAAAATGTGCTTTATATCGGGCATAACGCTAGTACATGCACGAAGAAAAAAGGGTCGTTGGTCCTACATAATGCTCATAATGGAATCTCGGTCCTACTTACTTTTCTGCTCATAGTTAAAATGTTTCTTTCACGGTTGCATTATGTCGGCCTTGGTAACAATGATACATTGTCAGAAGGGTCTGAACAATCTTTACCAAGAAATATATTGTAAATGCAAATGTAGAAAAATGGATCTAGGACTAGGAATCCATTATGGTCCACTATGCATTATGAGTATTGTGAGTTCAACAATTATTTTTTCTACGTAAGCAGCTTCCGAAGGCTTGACTCGATAAGGGCATCTACTTCAACCAGTTTAGCTTAGAGAGCATTGCCTTTGTAATGAGTTGAACGTTTCTCCTACCATGTAACTACGCTTGAATTCCCACCAAATTCCACTGTATTTGGTTGGTGTGTCAGATTTACATATTTGTTTTAAAGTGAATCTACATGGGGTATCAAAAATTTCCCTCGTGGGTGGGTACTTATTAGGAAAAAAAACCGATTTTTATATTTTATGTAAGGGTTTGAGAATGTTGAGAGAAATTACATAAATTCTCTCGGTGATTGTTTGTTGAGATCATAAATGTGAATTCGTCCGCTGAAAAAGTGGGAGAGTCCATTAAACTGGTGAGAAATTTACACCAAACCCACGAGGGTTTAACCGAAATATATTTTTAAAAAAAACTGCACGCGCTTGGCAGAAACTGCATTAAAACCCAATTTTTTTTTTACCAGGTAACGACTTGGTTCGACGAGCTCAGTTCACTTTCTAAACGGATACTGTTAACAGTCAATTCAATACCGAGTGATCCTTAAAATACCCTGAATTTTGTGGGGCAGTACACTTACAACGAATGTAAAGCGGAAGAAGATTTTCCTTGACTCATTTTTTACTATTCAAATGTTTTTCATGGAATGTGAATCTTAGCATTTGAGCTCAATTTAGTAAATTTTAAGGCATATTTATTTTTCAAAAATGCTAATTTGAATTTATAGTTCAATCTTTGAAGCAATATCGTCTTATTATTTCTGTTTTCTCACAACTGAGTTTGATAAATTACTTTATGATTGCCATTAATTAGGAAATCTGTAAATATTGTAAATAAATTGTTAAAATATATGTAAATCATTATTTCAACTAAACAAAATATTAGAAAATTTTGGGAGATAATCCGGATGCATATTTATTTGTACTAATAAAGTGAATAAAAGTATGTTTGCAGTTTTCTCTTTAATCGATTTTTCTCTTCAATTTTGAATGGGCTACATTATATGTACGACAAGCAACACACTGGGGAAAAAAAAACACATTGGACTTAGAGTCCAGACTGTTAAAAACATCAAAAAGAAAAAATACCCTTGATTCAATCAGATTTAAGCTTAAATCAAGCACCAAGCCTCTTAATTTGAGCGGATTTCCTTTTGATTTAAGCTTAAATCTGATTGAATCAAGAGTCCTTTTTCTTGTCAATGTTTTCAAGAGTCTGGACTCTAGATCCAATGTGTTTTATTCCAGTGCACGGCAATTAAGTGTAGATAAAGAATAAGATCGTCCACAGGCTACAATTTTAATGAACGCATTTTATGTACAAAGGGAGTTTTATAAAGGAAACCGCACAGCACAGGTCCCGCAGACACGGCTGGGCAAAAGTCGAAATTTCAGCATGTATTCAACGAATTACAGTTTCTAGTGTCTCGAAGAATAACTAGCTCACTTTTCAGTGCAATTTCGTGCTGAAAAATGAAGACATATGAAATACAATCCACCGAATACGAGTCTAACCTTTGTAATCGATACTTACGCCATTCCCAATCCTGGGCATGACTGATTCTCCATTGGAGAATTTGCACGCAATTTTTTTATTGCTTCATCTGAAAGTGCCTAATGAGCTGAGTTCGCAATATTTTTCATAATTTTTTTCTGACATGGGAAATTGGAGAAAAATTGATCTAAAAGTGAGAAAATGTGCCGCCTAGTGACGTCATCTGGCGGCATTTCCCATTTCAACACATGTATTTTAGCAGAATCGGTTATTTTGTCATATCTCCTCTAATAATTGCTCAATTTATGAATCAAGGGTATTTTCGTGTTCAGTTCACTCAGAGGATTCCACTTAAACAGGAAATTCATCAAATTTCAGACCCTTGCAAATTCTCCATTGTATTTAATACCTTTTCTCGTAACTGTCTTTGATGAAAAGGAGACTTTATACCGTGTCATTTAACGGGGTTCGGATGAGTGTTTTTGAGTGATTTGGCACCCCATTTCGTAAAACTTTTTTCATTAGCAGTGTCAATCCTTGAATTGTAAGTTTTCGGCACCGTGGTCCTTATTCCTTTAAAGATTGAAGAAACTTCATTTGCGTGAGTCACACTAACTATAAGAAGGAGATGGGGTTGTTTCCTCGTATTCCCTTTAAGTAAGTCCCTTTTTATAAATCGAGTAATCGAGTATATGAGGGAGGAAAAAAAAGAAGATATTATCGGAATTTTCGTAAAGTTGTAAAGTTTAGTGTAGTTTACTGCAGGAGCTCTTCAGACCGAAATCGTATGCGAAAATTGGCGGGAACGATAAGCCAATCAGAGAGGTTTCTTTCCTTAAAATTAAAAGAGAAGGAGGTGGGAGAGGGTTGCCACAAAACCTGACGTTTAAAACTAGGGCTGTCTGGATCCACATTCTCTTCGGTTGAAATCGGTACACGCTGCGCTCTCTATCGGATGAGCTTCAAACTTATCGTAGAAAAGAGAATTCCATCCTCATTCGTTGTGTAGCGCCACTTCATTTGTTGGCTCCCCTTTGAAATTGCAAGGCAAGAGAAGTTCATGTCTACCACTCGGAGATATTTTTCACGAAAAAACTGAATGGTTACGTTGGCAGAAGGGCAATTGAATTGTTTACGATTAAAGAAAATAATGAAAAAAAGGAAAAACCACACCCTCACACTGTTAGTCCAGCTTATTTTTTTTTTCATTTTCTATTTTTATTTGAAAAAAAAAGATATAAAAAAACTGTGTATGTGCCGTTAGTTTCTGTATTCAGCCATGAAATTAGTTACTGAATGAAACAAAAATATCAAATCCTTATAGCAAAATTAAATTAAATTCTTTGACATCTTTCTGCACGCATCTTGTTCAGTGTGAAATGGTAAACATTTCATCAATTTTATCATATTCTTGGCGAAGAAAGGAAAGAAATATGGAAATCTAGAGGTATTTTAGCATTAGGTGCATCTTACCTAAATAGCAAAAAAAAAATTGCTGAATTACGATTGCGTTGCGTAGCATCTTCGCTTTACAGGAAAGGCCACCTCCGTATTGGTTTTACTCTATATGTGGGGGGATGTAATTGGATACATACGTAAAAGTATCTCAATTGTACGAAATGATAAACAAAAAAGAGAAGGAAGATTCGCAAAGAAAGAGACTAGAATGTAAAAGGAAAAGAAGAAGGATCCAACAGGGAACTATGAAAAAAAATGACGAAGAGTAAATTGAGGACAAAAACAACAAAGTTAAAAAAATGGAGACGATGGCAACTTTCACGCACCAACACCAATATAACAATAACAACTGAAGCCGTAGCCTCAATTTTAGAAGACGTAAAAGATTATCTCTGACTCGCCGTCAGTTCCTTACGGTAAGTTCTGAGATGACTGAACGGGGCAGTTCTTATTCGCGAAGGCCCGGACGTAAATTAAATCTCCTGTCGAGGAGGAGACGTGGAGGTATAGGCTTGGGAAATGAAGAGTGAAATCTATTAGCAGATGAAGGGGCATGGTTCTCGCGATCGGCCCATACAGCGACCACCCGAGATCCCTGTCTCGTTCCGTGTGAACTAGTGTGGAATCTTTGATAAAACTTCGGCCGGCATCCAACAACGGAAGGTTGTCAGAATTTTAAAAAAATTTCTGTTTTCCCGCCGATCACAGCAGTTTGGCTGGTGGCAGGAAACCCTACAAATATTAGGCTTATGGTGGATGAGGTGTAAAGATGATGAGGAATGAGGAGATGCAAGAGGCAACGAGCAGAGGGGAATGATCTTGAAGGAAAGAAGGGGAAATGAAGTGCATTTGCAGAGGTAGATAATCACGAGGAATATGGAGGAAAGGAATATGAAAATATATGAGGGTAAAACGGGTAAATATGGGGGGAAATGAAAATCAAGAGAAAGGGGAAGACAAGGATAACAATTTTTTCATGTAACTTTCGCCGCATAATGATTTATAACTGTAAGCATGAATTCATAGATGCTTGTAAGTGCATAGTTTCTTGTATTCGCTCATCACCAGCCATGTAGTGAACTTTATTGTGCATATGCTATTTGCCGTATTTACTGTGTTGCCATATTTTCTTGCCTAAAATCACAGAAAACCGAGTAATTATTTCAGTATTTGGAGACTGTTTTTCGTCGAGCTCATTCGGCAAAGTTCAAAACCCCTGATTTTTCATTAAACGTTATACGGTCGGCGACTCTATTGCCTACCTTACACTGGCAATACCACCCAGATGTGGCCATAGGGTTCCAAGTCCCTTTGCATTCTAACCAATGATACACTTTTTCTTGCAATGGATTTTTAGTTATGGATAAATACAACATTCTCTGCGCGATGATAGTAGAATTCTCATATTCGTTTCAAAGTTGCATCTTCATGCGCAAATATCATGTCAAAAATTCATAAGATAATGCAAACGCAAGATCTTCATACCGGCACAAAATAGGTATGATCTACTTGCATCCCTGAATACTGTAATTTAAATTACAGTCTTACAGTCTCACACATTTATTCCATGCGCATAATCCAAAAAAAAAAAAAAATGGCTCAAATCCTGGCCCGATTCAGATTTTTCTAGATTTTTCCGATGATGTGTGTGTAATATGTGATAATTGTGGGCAAGTTTATAGCACGCTGCGGCGCTGCGCGGCGTGCTTGCCAGCTCGAAACGCGCACTGACGCCTACAAACCTAAATGGATACTTCAAACATTGCGCACTGCGTGAAGTATTCCGTTAGGTTTGTAGGCGTCAGTGCGCTTTTCCCGCTGGCAGCACTCCGCGGATCTCCCCGCGGGCGAGTGGTGAAAGATTTCTTGTGGGGACAGCTCCCAGTCGGAGAAACTCGTGGATCGTGTTATTTTTTTTTTTTTTTTTTTTTTTTTTTTTTTTAAATTTTCGACTTTAAAAATTACACACTGGTCGTGTGAAGTAATTCGTGAACTTTCAACGCTAGGTGAAGTGTAATAATGAATGGCAGGTCGTGTGCCATGCGCGCTGCGGATCATTGCCTGACATTCCTGAATTTATTTTGTAGTATTTTCTTTGGGTCCGTTCCTTTTTTCGACTCAAGTTCACGCTTCCCTCCATTTTGCCCTTTTTGAGGAATGCATCGGCTCACACTTGAGTCAATCCTCTGAGCGGCCGCTAAGTTCAGTTATAAAAATAGAGGAAGATGAAGAAAAAGAATGGACATGTAGACAGAAGAGCATGAAAAAAAGAAAAATAAAGGGTACGAGGAAAACATTTAAATGAGGAGAAAGA